TTCTTTTTTAATGGTAGGGTACTTTGTGCATAATGATGCTGAGATATTGGCAAGACTTTAGGAGTCGTAGTTCTACATTTGAGAAGAATAATGTTTACTCGTCTCATGAGCTCACAACGTTGCCAATATTGCCCAAGTTGTAACCTTTCTCGAGTTGAAAAGAGGTTGTTAACGGACAATTTTCTATTCGACACCTAACCTCTTGACGAACTCATCTTTTTGAGAAGCCAGACAATTCGCCATTCGATCACACCTTTATTATTTCCCAAGTATTGTTAGACAGGACCTAGCTGGAAAGGAAAAAAAATACTTGTCTTTTAGAAAGCACTTCACGAGCGTGTATGTAGTGCGGGAGATTGGGCGCTTTTACTCTAACGGCAGGAACAGTGTTTGTATGAGTTAAGGCTAAGAATTTCTGAACACCTAGATTCAAAAATCGAATTAAAAAAAAATGACTTTCTATCTTACGACTTAGGGCCTTATCTGAGATTAATTTCTTGATACCAGTGAGGTTAATTTACCATCCTTAGTGAACAACGAACGGGTGGGCTTAAGAAGAGGAAAGCAGTGAGTACTTTTTAACAGACTTTGAAGTTATATTTCGCATTATATCCTGCCATTGAAAATAGTAGGCAGTAAGTAAAACGATTAAGATTGTGATTATACTAAAGTCTCAGCTTAACTGGGTTCGTTGACGATTTGGGTTCCCCAGATCAATCCCACTGACGGGTGATTGCTGACAGCAAAAAGATCTAGCTGAGAGACAGGCGAAACGAAAGACCAGCCTGGTGTGGTGGTGAACGCGTTACTCCCCGGAAAGGACAACAGCACGTTCGTTCCCCACCGCAGACCCCTGCGGTCGGGAGTTTTGCAAGTATCTCAGCATCGTTGAAGACTTTGATTTGCTCTGTACAATAGATTTTTATTGAGACTACACATTTTTCGTCGAATAATGCTGGTATGGCTAAATAACCCACAGGTCTCCCTCACATGAGGGATGCTGCGCCGGTTAGTCGCGAGGCTACGTGGAGCGTCCCCAATTGGCGGATAGGAGGTCAATCGCGAACCGTACTCGTCCTTTGCTTCCCTGAGGCGCAGGTGGATCCAGTGTATGGGCTCCCTTTTTCTGCTACGCCGATATGACACATAAGGAGCCTCCAATTTCGCAGCATTGGATAGGACCAGTACGGCGAGGCTGCTAAAATCTCAGGGCCAATGTAAGCTGCCTGGATCACGAAAAACTAAGGTGACGATCTGTACCTACAATACACCTACACTTGCATCCGAGTCCTCGATAGAAGTCTTGCTTATGCAAGCAATAAGTATAAGGTACGACCTCATCGGCCTGGCTGAGACGAGACGACGCCAGCCTTTCAACGCTGTCTATGACACCGGAGAAGAACTGTTCCTCGGAACATGCGACAGTAGAGGAGCTGGCGGCGTCGGTGTTCTCGTCAACACCAGTTTGTCCATGAACACTGATTCATTTGAACGACTAACAACCCGAATCGGACGTTCACGATGAAAAAGATGTGGATCAATGCCGGCTTTGACTTCGTCGTTTACGCGCCGTCATCAAACTATGACAAAGAAGTCGAAGCGTTCTATATGGACTTGGAGAAGTTCTACAGAGAAGACCACACATTCTTTAAAGTCATCATTGGAGATTTCAACGCCAAAATTGGACCAAGAAGAACGTCTGAAAAACGTTACATTGGTACCCACGGAATAGAATGGAACGAACAAAGTGAACGGCTGTCTGAGTTTATCATTAGTTTAGCATCCAAGACCATCCATGGTAACTCGCAATTCCAGAAGCCCCACCCTCAACGCTGGGCGTGGGAGACTCCCAATGGAGAGTACCATAACGAAATAGACCACATCATAGTAAATAGAAAGTTCTGCCTAACTGTTGTCGCTGTTGTCCCAAAATTCTACACGGGATCAGACCATCCCTCTTTCGTGCAAGATTCTATTTTTCGCGGATAGAAGAAAAGCCGCTAAAGTCAAAAACCGAAATTCCAGAACCACCATAAACTGGGACTTATTCAATTCATTAGCCGTCTGTTGGGAACATGCCGTTGTCGTTAGCATCGACGAAGAATACGATCGGCTCATTCAACATCTTCACGTTCGCGCTATGAAAGCTGAGAGTTCGAAAGTCACCAAGAGACATCTGTCTGCAGAAACACTCGAGCTGATACTCCAGCGTGGAATCGCACGAGCAGGCAACAGCGAACTAACGTCCGAAAGCGCAAAGCAATGCAGCCAGGCGATAAAAGAAGATCTTAAAGAGAGAAGAGCAGCAATAATGGTCGAAGCTGCAGAGACTGGGAAAACCATTTGCATGGCCCACCGAAACTTCGCCAATTACAAGACTAAGATGATTGCACTCCGCCGCTCAGACGGAACATTTACAGCGTCCAGAAAGGCAATGGGGAAAATCATTCACAAATACTACTCAGACCGTGTTTAACGTTTTGTTTTCTGCCTTCTATAATTTTCACGGCAGGGTACTAAGCGAAATACAACCACAACGTTGCTGAGATATTTGCAAAACTCTGGACCGCAGGTGTCTATGGTGGGGAACGAACGCGCTATTGTCCTTTCCGGGGAGTAACGCGTTCACCACCACACCATGCGGGTCCTTCGTTTCGCCTGTTTCTCAGCTATTTCTACTCAGACCGTTTTGAAAGCCACGTCCACCTCTCGTCATATGAAATAAAGGAGGATGGATATGTTGTACCACCGCTTCTCCCTTCCGAATTCCGACATGCTATTTCGTCGGTGAAAAACCGAACAGCATCAGGTCCGGACAGGATAAGACCATTCCATCGTTTGTAGAAATCTCCAAGTTTCTTCCTGAAGCCGCAGAAAGATGGAACCAGTTACATCAACATTATTGCTATAGTCAATGTCGTAATTTTCCGGAAATCTTGTCGCTACTAGGGCAGTTGGCTCCTTCACAACTTACTGTTAACAATTCCGAATTCTCAGAATGGAATGGAAAGAAGTATTGCCGAATCGAAGCGAAATTGGATCGGAGGGCTTCTATTTGACTTGACTTTTTGATGTAGGAAGAAGAAGCAAGAGAATATCGTCTTTTCCCGCAACCACACTTTGCTGGACAGTTTGCTCTACGGTCTGATGCGGACCGCATCACGTTGAAGGGAACCTATCTTGCAAACAACGAAAGTCCCTCTCCACATCGTTCGTGATGAGTTCTTTCTCTAGTTTTATAGTGGGTTTTCTTAAAATGGATGTTATTTGCTTATTAAACAACGTTAACTGATTGCAAGAATTGTGAAAAAAGCGTGCTCCAGCGATGATCTACCATCGATCATCCCTTCAAGCGACGCGTCACGCCGGCGGGTTCCTCAACTATTCAAACCTTGTACGGCCCTGCATTTGTCATCCATCATCTATCCATTCTTTTCATTTTCATCAACATTTTTTTAAGTCACCATAGGTTCGAAGCGACTTTTTCGAAATCTCGTATTTCTAATAGGTAGAGATGTAGGCAATTCGGCCACAAGCACATCTGGCAACGAGCGAACTAACTCCGGTTCGAGTTGATTGGCTGCATTTCGTTTCAACGCTGTCTTGTGTTTTTTTACGTACTATAGTGCTTTGATCTACTTGTCACACCATTCTAGTTTTCGATTGGAGAGATCTATGCGTCCACTTGATTGCACTGACTAAAATTCTTCGCTCTTTTGTCAACGACGGGCGAACCCGGTCCCTGTCTGAATTGCGCGTTTTCACCAACGAAGACGAATGTCGGGCACCAATTTCAACCTTATCAGTGTTTTGTCTGTCAATCAACATATTTTTCCTAGTGTTCCAAGGTATCTGTGCTTGATCTTTGCCAAGTTACACAGTCGGTGAACGTTTTTAGTTGAAGTAAGGTTTCTTTTCTATGAGAAGACTTATTCGAAGACAGCGGCGATTACTGGTACTGGTTCACCTTTGGCTGTGCTTTCTCAAGAAAATGTCGAGTTGAAGTGTCGAGCCACTTCGCCACCTTGGTGGACCCAGCTGACGGATGAATCCCTTCCTGTATAGGATAATTTTTAACCAACAGTACCAACTCCTTCGCAAAGACAAAGCGCCAAACATTGAATGGCAGCTTGTGTCAGTATGTTGCGAAGTTAGGCGTCACACTTCGAGGCACTCCATACAATTTCAGGATTTTCTTTTAAAGCTTATAGTGATGCAGTTCGTGGACTTTTTACGAACGCTTCTTGTTTTCCTCACAACTGGCTCTGCTTTTTCATAAGGGCTGAAATTACTATTTGTTTTCATCCTTATAGAACTATGTCCTAAGCGCTTTGTTAAATACTTGTGTCGTTGTCTTCTGAAAGCTTTAATGTTTTTCCAGACTCCAAAAGAGTGAATTCTATCCATTTCGAAAAGCGTTAGGTAATGGATCATAGTGAACCATCTGTCTGCTTCCCTGGAATGTGTTTTTTCCCATTTTCCTTACTTAGCTAGCACATCTGTGAGTGGAAAGTACAGCAACGGAAGCTATGATCGGAGAATTTCGAGAAATTGGTTCTCACTGCCATTCCTGTTCTTGTTGCGGCAAAATATTCTTCTCATTGACTTCACTAAATGAAAGCCAAGTGCTTTCCATTTCTTCGTGGTGCTTCTTTCTCGAAAACTGCAGATCTATCCGCGTTTTCACGGTTGGTTAATTGATCGAAAATATGCGAATCAAGTATCCACACTTGTTGAGCGCATTTCAAGTTGTCTGCTCTCGATTGAAAGCTTAGAATTCATGCCAGTCTACTTCATTTTATCTTCTCAAATAACACACCGAACGTCTTTATGTCTATATTCTGTTGTGTTTGATCAACCCGGTTTTTTCACGTTGCTCAGACCGGTGGTGGATCAACCGAATCTGATTTAGTGGAGGTTTTAATGAATTAATTGTGGACGAAAAGAATGTTTTTTCAGGTTGATTCCTTGCGAACGAGCGCAATTGTATTTGCGGAATAATGGAAGAGGTTCTTTTATCGTTTTGAACGTGGAAAAGTCGCAAGGTATTTTTAAATTTTCCAGTTTTCCGATGTACCCGAAGGAAAGACAGTTCGATACCGCTGTGGCGTGCCAAGATGTCACTCGCCAACGAAAACGTTCTCGCTGCTCACGATCATAGAGCATCTTGCGTCTCACTTCCGTCACAGCATCGGGTATGCTATTAGTTTTCCACTACGGACCATCTTTTTGTCGTCATTCACCTGTTTTGAAAATGTTCACGTTCACTGCACTTGAACTTAGACGTTCATAAGTACTGAACCACTGATGCCGCCGACCCGGCGCCTAGTTTGTATGACCGGTATGGAATTGGACGACACTTCCATATTGTTGTCATCGTTATGGGTTTCGCTAACAGCGGTTGAAAACTTTCGGATAATTAGAGTATAGTGCCATTTATGTTATGTGTTACTGAGATCCATTAGACATTCTCTCACATCACTTGGAATGCCAGAACTAGATTTCAAGCTTAGAACTCGAAAAAAGGGTAAGGTTGTGTTGCGAATGAATTTATAGTATTGAGGTTTAACAGGTCACGGAATCATGCCAATTACCTCTGCAAGAATTGCGGTCATAGCTTTTACCTACTTTGCATGACGATGTCGTGTTTCTGCAGGCAATATGGTGGAGAAAATGTACGTTTGTCACTTTCCACTGTATCTGATGTTTCTTGTAGATTCTTTTTAGGAGTGTGTATCGATCAGAAAGGATTGGAACCGAGTAGTCGCACGGGAGGACGTTGCCTTCCTTTGGTACGTGGTGCGATACGCAGTACCTGTATTAGTCGAGAAAGCGGCCAATCGAGGAGGAGAGAGAAATTTGTCGTCGACACCGCAAAGAAAGACGGAAGGTGAATGAATTTGTAGGGAACAAGAGAAACGAACCTCTGAATGGGCGCTACGGTTGCTTCTGTTACTCCACTGTTCTGATATTATTTGTTAACCAGGAAATGTTGTAGACTGTAGCGCCTTTCCACTGCTTAGTATTGCATTCTCATCAGAAATTTTGGACAAACTGCCCTTTATCATTGGTGGTGATCAACATGTTTAAGGAAATCCTAGCGTTGGTGACTTAAGGATGTCCAGTGTTAGAATAACAAACGCGTATTCCAACCTATGAGAATCACTGTATTCTTTTCGGTGTGTTGGAATTTAGGAAATTTGGGTTTCAACACACCCTTAATGAGGTCTCCCTCAACTTACAACGACGGAACTCCGCGGACTCCGCTTGATCATGATGAGGAAGAGATAGAGTGAGTTTGATCTTACTTTGTACTTATATTTCAAGGGAAAAGAAAGTCGGAAGAAATGGTGTAAATGGCCAAATGTGGTAGGCACGCATTTTTTTTTGTAAATGCTGAAGTTATTCTCACATCGTTTCAATGGGTTCTGCTAAAATTCCAAGACTTTAGCAAATGTTTTGCTAACATAGTGATAATGTTCTACCACTATAAGGTTCGAAGTAACTGCGGTTGAAATTAGGCATGGACGTAATCTGTCTTAACATATAGTACGCATTTCCAGACCAGCTCATGGTTGTGCTCTTCGGAACATGAGCATTTGTGCATCAGTCAGCGCTGTTCAAGTGAAGGGTGAGGAGACCAAAAAACAGCGATGGGGTAGAGAAGGTGAGTCCAATTTTCTCAGTCGTTACTTGGTCACTGACTTCACCTAGAAGACCACGTAGGATTATGTTTCCCTTCCTCTTAACGGTTACTCGCCGTGTTGTTTTCTCTGTTAATTTAAGGTCGTAGTTTCACCTAAAATCTTTACCTAGTATTTGATCTTTAATCTTATAACCATCAATCTCTATTTGTTCTCCATCTGATCACTGTTTTTATGAACAGTTTCCTTACGATCGTTCCTCATTCGCAGATGGCGTGTATAGCGTTGTTGTGCTTAGCGATGGACGTTGTTAATGGTTCGATCCCTATTTAAATACCTTCTTTAATTAATAGCTAACATACATGCAGACGTAATAGTACATGCAAATAATACACACCTTTCATAACGGCTCCTTATTTAAGTTCCAAGTTACTATAGTGAACATCTCTTTGCAACATATTTGCGTTGGTGTGGGAACCTGGTGTGTAATGAGGACTGGGAAGATAAGGTTGGACCTTCTCGTAGTGGCATGGAGATAATAACTTCCAGTTTATATGCTTGCTATCTGGAACTTTTGGTTATTCCTTTCTTTATGCATGAGTGGAGTGTGGTACTACCCACTCACTGTTTGAATCCATATGATATGCTGATTTAGTGTTTTTGGAGCGTACATACTCTTTTTCTCCAGATGGAGGAACACCTAGAGGGACACCTGCCGTTCGCTCACCTACAGTTCGCTCACCCCAGTGGAGAAGTAGGCAAGATGCACTACTTCTAGAAAATCCATCACCGCCTCGTACTCCTCGTAAAATGGTATGGTTTCGTGGCTATGTAGTTTAAATTCTCTTAGTTGAGACTGATAGTTCCAGAGTCGAAGTCCTGGCTCGTCATCACTTCAAGTTTCTCGCTCTCAGGTAGTTTTTCTCTGTATTTTTCTTCAGAGGGATCTGTATACATTTGAAGTCGTCCCTGCAGCCATCGCCAAATTCGTCTACTAAAAAGAGAATTGGTGGTCATCCTGGTTCTGGCACAACGATTCCACTATGGTGTCCTCAGACGCTTAGGCCAACGACTGTTACCAATTCGTCCTCGTTAACAAGTTTTTCTGGGTTTAAACCGATCTCTATTCCAACTGGTACGCTCATGTTTCGGCAAATCTAATGGATTTCTATATTTTTAGTGGATTCACACTTTGCCATTTTTCTCATGAGATAGGAGTCGTGTATAAATGGTGTAATCAGGAGTGCTTCACTGCTTTTAAGAATAGAAACTTCTCAGTGTTTCCCATGTAATGTATAGGTTCTTCCTTACCCTCCGTGTAGAGCAACCAGGAAAATTGCACTTGGATGCACTGATGATCAGCAAGTTCATCCGAGTAACTGTTTTATGTTGTTTTTATTGCAAAGAAAGTTCGTGCAGCAAAGGAGGCAATCGGAAGGAATATGAGTCATATAGGAATAGCAATATAATGAGCAGGCTAAAATGGCGACATAAATCGGCCACCGTTCCTTTCGTTTTAGTTGACACAATTTTTTATTACATAGCGCTACATTTAGAGCTTTTTACATTCCTTTTTAGGTCCGTATCAAACCAACTATGTTCCACCTTCCACATACGCACTGGCAGGGCAGTTTTGTGGATCTCCTAGTACAACAGATGGTTAGTAGCGACAAAGAAACCGAAATTTAGTGCCATGTAGGCAGATATTTTTGTGCGGTAACAAGAGCATTTTTTGCTGAATTATAGGTTGTAGGCTATCAGCACCTATTGTGGCATCCTCCATTACCACAATCACCGTTTACGGCAATCCAAAAATCGTCGACACCGCACACGGGCCAATTTTCGAATACGATGTCATCGGAAACGCAACCAAATCCAACAGCCAATGTTCCAGCACCGAAACAAAAGGAGTGCAGACCTCGCACGATATTGTTGGAAACGATCCCTCTCCATTCGGTATTGCGTTCTGTTTTTAGATGAATTTTGTTTTTTGTAATGCAATGCGGGATTTCTATAGTATGTTGTTTTTCAGAGTCCTGGAAGACAAGAGGTAGTAACACCAAAAAGAAGGCGGCGATCGTCACGTCGTAGAAGTTCGGATTCAAGTTAATGTAGTATTTCCCAATGGTGAATTTAATGATGCAATGTGGTGGACGTTTACCGATCCTGACAGACCTGAATTTTTTGACCGTTTGAGTTTGCTTGATTTGGTTTGGAAAGGTGTTATCCGGAAACATCTTGAAAGGACAGATGGTTGCAACAGTTGTGGTTAAATTATAAAGCATAGGTGGCAGTTATCATTGACGGGGAACTCATAACCTCGTCTTCGGTTTTCTAAAGGCGTAGATTCCTTTCTTGAATATGCTTACCTCGCAGCTACGTTTAGCAGAGAACTGTACAAATGAACGATGTGTCTGAGCAAAACACATCACGAGAGATTAATTTCTACTCCTAAAGAGTTCTTCTGCACTTATGAAGTGAATGTTCGACAGTACTCGTCTATTAGATTAGGTTCTGGATAAGCGTATCTAAATTACGATGACAACGTTCCTCGCGATTTTTCGTGCGGTGAAAACGCTCGCATAGCGATTTGTTCAGAGCCGTTCGAAATTTTGCTCATGTCTATGTAACGGTTTATATCATACTGGGATAGTAAGCTAGTCTGAAGCGCTGAATAGCCATTACAAAGGACAATTCGTAGACACTATCAGTGATCATAAATATGGAGTTGTTAATAAAGGGCTTTGGGTGCAGCTCTGTTAATGAAGTGCCTGCGTCACTACCTTCTTCTTTATCTTTTAACCTAGCGGGCATCGAGCTTTCCCATGCAGATTTAAGTTGTCCGTCGACCTTTGGTCTATGTCTGTTTATCAGACTGTTGGCGATTTAGCTTCATTTCAGTTTTATGATTTTCAAATCTGTGTTATGCTGTAAAAAGATCTTGTTGATTCCGTCAGCCGAAGATTTATGTTTCGTTTAGGCTTATTCGGTGCAGGTCGTTTTGGGTGTAATTCCACTATGCCGCGTTCTATAAAGAGGTAGTTAATTGTCTCCACACAACCAATTTGATGACATCGTCATAGGGTGTAAATAGAGTACCCTATGTGGCAGGATAGTGATCACGTATGCCTTCTCATTTGATCGATTGGGCTGATGAGAAGCTCTTAATAATGTTGTTACTATTGCTATATGATTACTCAGTAATATGGTTGTAGTCTTTTCTGTAGTTGTTAAATGCATTTTTGTCGTTCTTTGATTTGTTGAGTTATATATGAAAAGTTATTAAACCAGTCTTGTCTTTTGTAAGCGTTATTTAAATACCTTATGTAACTCCCACGACCGACTTTCTATTAACCTCGGCATTGATCAAGTAATTCTTTGTATTTTTGTTGAGCAAACGCGAGGTGTTATTATTCTTTATTCACAAATGAGCTGACGTTTCGGCGGATTTCGCCTTCCTCAGAGCCTGGAAAGGTCAAGTTGACAGCAATCTACTTGGCCAGACGCCTCCATAACCAAACAAAGAAACTCTAAACCAAGATTTCAATCACATTGAACACAGCTTTGCACACTCACCGCTTTCTATGAGGTCTCCACTAAGTATGTCACGTAGAGACCAACCGCACAGAAATCACATGGAAGTATAATGTACCCCACTCATCAGAATAGTAGTCTTATATACTGCCCTACATCACGCGTGATAATGAGGCATTCTTCCCTGCGGTTCATTTTCGGATTTCTGGAATTAATCCAGAGTGCCTCGAGAGTTTTTCGCGCCTGTGTTCTTGATTCGCGTGCAAGGGTCTTGACACATACTGCAAAGTCCTCCCCGTTATGTCTCTGGGTCCTATGCGTGCCTAGCGGAGTATTTGGTCTATGTTTGCCGGCTAGGTGTTCTTTTACGTCGCCCCCGTTATGTCTCTGGGTCCTATGCGTGCCTAGCGGAGTATTTGGTCTATGTTTGCCGGCTAGGTGTTCTTTTATGCGGAAGTATAATGTCTTCCATGTGATTTCTGTGCGGTTGGTCTCTACGTGACATACTTAGTGGAGACCTCATAGAAAGCGGCTCTGAGGAAGGCGAAATCCGCCGAAACGTCAGCTCATTTGTGAATAAAGAATAATAACACCTCGCGTTTGCTCAACAAAAATACTAAGAAAAATACGAAGAAATACCTTATGTAAGCTTTTTTTGACATAAGTATCTAGAACTTCTTCAAATAGACGTTGTTGTTTTCCGTTTTTAGATGAGTTTCATGTCGTGTGTAATGCAGCGCGGGCTTTTTGTTGTATTTGTTGTTGTTCAGAGTCCTGGAAGACCTGAAGTAGTTGAAGGCGGCGATCGTCACGTCGTAGAAGTTCGGATTCGAGTTAATATAGTATTTCCCAATGGTAAGTTTAATGATGCAGTGTGGTGGTTGTTTACCGACCCTGACAGCTCTGAATTTCTTGACCGTCTGAGTTTGCTTGATTTAGTTTGGGAACGTGTTATGTGGAAACATCTTGACGGGACAGATAGTTGTAACAGTTGTGGCTAAGTCATAAAACATAAGTGGCAGTTGTCATTGATGGGTCGCTCATAATCTACTCTTTGGTTTTCCAAGGGAGTAGATTCCTTCCTTGAATATGCCTACCTCACCGTTGCGTTTACCAGAGAACTGCACAAATGAACGATGTCTCTGAGCAAAACACATCAGGAGAGATAAGTTCTCACTACAGGTCAGTTCTTATACACTCGCCAGGCGAAGGTTCGACACGTACTCGTCTACCAGATCAGTTTCTGGATAAACATCTCCAAATTACGAATCTACCATATTTCCTTTATTAAAAAGAAATGTATGAAGGCAAAGTTAGTTGTAGTTTCTTTAAACATCTATAGCAAGTATCCCCGGAATAGTTACTATTTCTTTCTATTCCTGCATATTTCTGTAGTAAGGACCAGATCTACTGTTTCTCAAGTTGCCTAGCAAATGTCATAGAGAATTTCTCTATCAAATAGTGAATTCTCTATATACCTAGCAGACACATTCAATGGATCAATGGGGACAGCCGCTGCCACAACGCCACTAGACAGCATCTCGTGGTCATCGGTCACACCGGGGATGCCGTTGGGTACGTCTCATTGCTTGGGGAATAGACCCCTCGACCCGGGCCTTGACCCTACCACCAACGACTCGCTTGGACGTAGCCACGCCCGGACTAGCACCGCCCTTCTTTTTGGGTTTGGGAAGATCTTTAGGAGTCTTACGTTCGACTTGTTTGCCTTATCCTTAAGTCAGTATTCCTTCATCGTTATTCCTGTTGTATTACCTTTACGTTCATAAAGATTTAATCCCAAGTTTGAGTGTAGAAAGCTGTTGCCCTGTGTCAACTACGAAAAGTCCCGCGTGGCGTCTTCTCACGAAGTCGAGCATTCTCACGAAGTGCTTAAAGCTAGTGGTTATTCGGTGCCGAGAACTGACTCGAAGGCCTATATTACGCTAGCAACTGCGATATTTTATTTGGTGCGTTGACCAAATCAATAGAGTCTGCTGAAATAACCAAACTACTGTTACGAAGTCGCAGGACAATCAGTCTCAAGCCGGGAAACCAGTGCGCTTACATTCGCCATATAATGACTTCCTCAATATCATCACGTCAAGGGGTTTTAAGAAGGGCTGCTAACCGTCTCCTAAGTAATCTTGACGATAGTGAAGACCTACCATCGTCCCGAGTAGACCTTCCCTATGATGAAGTCAACCGCATTCCCAACGTCAATACACTAAGGAAAAGGATCACAAATGCAACTCTCGCCATCCAGTTCAGAATGCAAAACGTCCAGACAGCACTGGATAAGTACAGTGAAGAAGTGGATCATCTTGATTCTAACATCAATAGAGGATGCACGTGAGAGAATTAATGCAAATACCGAAAAAACACTTGAGCTACTTTATAGAGCGACACATTGTCTCTTCAAGTTCTTCAAACTAAAGAAAACTTTAAAAGATGCAAAAGACAACGTTTCAAGTAGCACAAATTTCAGTTCCCCAGCAGTAAGCCTGCCACCTAACCCTATCCTAAAATTCAGCGGAAAGCTATAGAAGTGGGACACATTTTGGGAAGCGTTCAACCACTCAGTGCACTCGCGAAGAATGGACGACTTCTTGAAAATGAACTGTTTTCTAGATTCCCTTGAAAGGAAAGCGGAAGCTTTCGTCAACCAATACAGAATAACGCGAGAATCCTACCAGATGGTTATCACTCATCTAAAGCATAAGCACGGTAGCAAACAAGATCTCGTAGGCGAACTACCCAACAGAGCACAGACGACCAAAGCGAACAGCGACCACCTTGAAGACCAGCAGACATTGTGACAGCATTTGTTCTCTGTAGTTAGCCCATTGGCACACAATGGAGAATTTGTGGGCACCACGTACCTACAAAATCAACTTCTTACGAAATTTACGAGAGACATTCAAAGACACGCACTGAATCAAAGCAGTCGAGAGTTGGATAAAACATACAAAACTGAAGATCTTTTAAAGTCTGTCAATGAATGTATAAACAAGGAGCTCAAGATACAACAACAGCTGAGCAGAAACGTCAGCATTACATCAGAGTTGAGAGGCACTATAAATAGACCCTTACAGGAACCTTTTGTCTCAAACCCACATAACCACAACCAGAATTTATCCATGCTTCTACTGTGAGCCGATGTGACATTTCCTAGTTGACTGCAAAGGAGTGCGAACGTATGAAGAAAAAGTGCAGATTATGAAAGATCGGAACCTTTGCTTTAACTGTGGATCAAAGTTTCACCAAACATCAGCTTGCAAGGGCGGGTGCTACCTAGTGTGCGGTAAAAGTGGACATCACACGTCTATTTGTAGGGAGCAACAACCGTCAAAAGAACAGCATAATCAACCAGAAGTAGGACAAAGAGACAAACAAACGCGGCCTGTCAACACCGCTAAAAGTAAGACTGCGAGATCAAGAATCA